AGATGACAGTCAGCGCCTGCACAAGCAATAGCGAAGTCATCAACATAGAGCGGTGACCAAATATTGGGTGGAAGAACAGAGGCCAAATCATTTATAGCAAGGAGAAAAAGTGTTGTGCTTAGATTATTATTATAATCAAGGGGGAAGCGCTAAATCCGGAGGATTATACAGCGCCTGGGGGGGATGTGGAAGGCATTCAGGCTTAATTCGGGGAACTGGAGCACAGATCCAATTCCCTAAATCAAGAGCCCCTCACCAACATCAAGGAACCTTCCTTGAGGGGTTGTGCTTAGAACACATCCCTGAGGGACACCTTCAGCTTGGACGAAGTCCGGGGAAAGAACATTATTGACTCGAACACGGAAATGTCTGTCAGTTAAAAAGTTCTTAAGGAAGGATGGTAGATTGCCTCGGAGGCCTAAGGAGTGGGCCTGGGCCAAAATATTATACCTCCAAGTTGTGTCATATGCCTTCTCAAGGTCAAAAAAATGGCAATAACTGAGTGATTATTCGCAAAGGCATTACGAACATACGTATCCAAGCGTAGTAAGGGGTCTATGGTAGAACGACCCTTACGAAAGCCATATTGACTTGCGGAGAGACTGTTGGGTGTGTCTCTAAATACCACATTAAACGTCGATTTACGAGACGTTCCATCACTTTGCAAACTGCACTAATAAAAGCGATGGGATGATAGTGGGAGGCATCACGTCCTGTAGTACCCGGTTTACGGAAAGGGAGAACAATGGCAGATTTCCACAGCTGGGGAAGAATCCTTGTGCCCAAAAAAGATTGAAGAGGTGTAAGAGGACTATAAGGGCTGCCCGATGTAAATGTTTGTAACATACGAATATGAATGTCGTCAGGCCCAGCTGCCGATGATGGGCAAGCTGAGAGTGTTGCCTCTAGTTCTTGAAGTGTAAAAGGCACATTATACTGTTCTTCTCTGAGAGAAAAAGTCCAAGGGTACTAACTCTCTGGCAGACTTTGAGGAAAGAAACGAGGGGCATAGATGGGAGCCCCGGGGAAAATACGGACCAGATGTGTGCCAAGTTCAATGGCAAAAATCGAGAGGGTTTGCTACATCAACACCAGCGACCCGTAAAACAGGAGCTGGGTCAGGAGAGTATTTACCACTCAATTTCCTCACTTTTTTCCAGACTGCACTCATAGAAGAAGCAGAGGTGATGGTGGAAACATAGTCTCGCCAACAAGTGCGTTTAGCTTCACGGATGACACGGCGAGCGATCTCACGCTTCTGCTTAAAATCAAGAAATCTCTCAGCGGTTCTATTGTACCGGTACCTGCCCCATGCAGCGTGTTTCAAACATACTGCACGAGCACAAGCAGGAGACCACCAAGGCACGCACTTCTGAGAATGCCTGCCTGAGGTTTGGGGTATAGAATGATTAGCTGCGGTAGAAACTGACGTTGAGAAGAGGTGTAGGAGCTCATCAATGGAGGATGAAGAAGGAACCTCACTAAAAGCAGTGAGGTGTGAGTAAAGATCCCAATTTGCCCAATCAAATTGCCAGCGAGGGCTACGGAAAGGTGGTGAATAGGAAGGAGAAGTAAGAATGATTGGAAAATGATCTCTGTCATGTAAGTCCGGTAGAAAGACCAGGTGAAGTCTAGTGCAGTGGAGGAAGAGCAGACTGATAAATCGATGCAAGAGAGAGTATGAGTACGAGGATCAAAATGGGTGGGAGTACCCGTATTTAAATCATGGAGGGGGTGAGAGGGAGAAAAGCCTCCAACTGGATGCCCGTGAGTCACAATGAGCCCCCCCCCCCCCCGAGGAAATGGTGGGCTTTTAAAAATCACCAAGAAAACAAAAGTGGTGGTGGTAAGGTGAAACAAGAAAGGCAAAGTCTGGGATAAAAAATGCTCGAGAAGGAGAGAGATATAAAGAACATATTGTAAACCATTTTATTCAAGTGGATAGGGGCTGCAGTTTTAATGCAGCGAGGTATGGACAGTAGTTGACAGTACGGAATATCATTGCGTAGAAGAAGGGCACTTTCATTAAAGGTCCCATCTGAGAAAGGATCCGAAGAATACAAAAAATTAAGCCTGAGATAGGTTGGAAAACACCCGAGTGTAATTTTGGTTCTTGTAAGCAAGCACCAACAGGGGAAAACCTGGAAAGCAACATCTGAAGCTCACCCCGATTACCCCTGAGGGGGGGGATATTCCACTGTAAATAGGCCATGATTGGCGATGAAGAAAATACCAGGAATCCATAGGGAAAGGCACCTATGGACTAGAGGGGTTAGAAAGTAAATGTGTGGTGGCATTGGAAGACGTTCAAGCAGCGAAGGAACGGAGCGTTGTGAAGAATGGGGTTGTGAAGATGGAGGAGAGGGAAGAGAAGGAACAGGAAGTGAATCAGTGTCCATTGAAGGTTTAGTCTCTGCAATATATTCTGAAATGGCTTCAAGTGTTTCTGAATTAAAGATGGATGGGAGACCATATTGGGATAGAAGGAGGAGGGTGATAAAGATTGGGACAGGAATGGACTGTCCCAAAAAGTAGAGGGGGAGGGAAGAGTGTAAGGGACTGGAGATGAAGTGTGGGGGGGGGACAGAAGAGGCGAAACCTGGGAGGTGGCAGAAGGGAGAAAAAACTTGGGGGGGGACGGGGGTGGAAGGCATAGTACGAGGAGGAGGGTGAATCTCCACACTTGAATAGAGCCAGAGAGAGGGGGGAAAAAAAATAGGTACAGAGATGGAAAGGTAAAGTGTGGAGGTGGAAGAAGGAAAGGAAGGGGGAAGAAGATTTGAGCAATGTGGATTTTTTGGCTTCTGAGAAGTAGAGGGGCAATTGGTATTAGGTGTCGTACGAGGTCTTGTCGATACTGGGGCTTGTGAGGAAGGACGCGAAGATGTGGGGGAAACAGACCGAGTTGTAGTCGAGACGGGCAGAGCCAAGGACAGCAAAAGGATTAGATGCCGGAGTGGGCTATGGGAGGGGTAACAACAGAGGAGGTGCAGAAGATGGGACCCCAAGGAAGTGGGGGGATGTTTTTTAAACACGAGAATAAGAAACATGGGGTAGTCTCCCTTGGAGGCGGAGATGAGTAACTGCCATAGCATAAGGGGAGACCTTCTGCCTCTTTGAGGCAACGGATTTTACGTTCATTTAAGTAGACCTGGCAACGGCGGGAGTACGTAGGGTGAGCTTCATTACAAAATTTAAAGGGAAGATGGAGGTTGACTGCAAGATGTATTAGAATGGTCGTCGGCACCACAGACTGGGCATTCGGCCATAGAAACTGAATATTTCGCTGGGTGACCAAAACGCCAGCAATTTTACACTGTTGCGGTGTAGGTATCACCCTTTTGAACTTGTAAAACCCATGTCCCGCGACATATATTTGAGGACGGGAGTTCTTGGCTGTCAAAAGTTAAACGGCCCATTGCAAGGGTAACGTCTCCACCCACGGGCAGGAAGGACGTTTAAATGTCTACTTTGAGGATTGGGAGATCCTGGGTTTCCAGCTGTTTTAAGAATGTCATTGGGCCCCATGACTGGAAATTCTGTTGGACTATGGTATGGGGCAGAATGACGGTACCACTACAAGAATTGAGAAAAAGATGTTTTTCATTAGTGATAGGAGTAGTATCGATATTTGAAAGGAGAGAAAGATCATGAGCTTGGGTAGCATTCTGGACAGTGACGATGCGATACCGTCTTGAGAGCATGAAATGAAATATCTCTACCAACATGACGCAGGAGCGCTTTGCCAATACTATGGTCAGAAAGGTAGGCAGAAGAAGAAGTCGGTCTTAAAGTAAAAAATTTAGTCCATTGTGTGGTCCCAAACTGAGGGTTTGGGGAGGGAGTGCTTTACGTGGGGGGTGCAGTCTTTTCCGAGTAGAATGGGAAGGTAACAAAGGAGCATCATCAGGAGATTGACGTTGGCGTTTAGGAGTAGGACCGGAGTTGGTCCTGCGTGAAATGGGCGGGCGATTCGAAAATTGCCGTACCGCAGAGGGAGAAGCCGGAAGCATAGTCAAAGGAGAGCGGAGTTCAGACAAAATCGAAGGAGTCAGTCGAAGCCCCGGTACTGAAGCGGGTGAGGAAACAGGCCCCCAGCAAGAGGTACAGGGGCACCAGGAGGTGTCCGAAGAGTGGTTAAACACAAGGCAGGGTCAGAATGGGGTGCGGTATCAAGAAGGGGCCCGGGGGTAGTGGGTTCATGGATTGGGTTCTCCATGGTTAGGTTACTCGTTTGCTTTTTGTTTTTAAGAAAAAAAAAAGAAAAGAAAAAAAATAAAAAAAAAAAAAGAATAAAAAAAGGGGGGAGCAGGGAGGAATAGTTCCCATAAGGAATGAAAGGGCCGGAAATCTCCCTCTGCGCCCAAGAGGACCTCAGCACCGCTAGTAGCACAGATGCAGCATGGAACCCGTGCCATACCCTACCCTTCATGCCAGTAAACCAGCAATCCGGGATAGCAACCTCACATCTGCCGAGCTACCTCGGTGGACAAAAGAGAGGGCGGCCGGATATCCACCACAAAGCATACCTCCTTCAGCCACCACCCTCGGAATCCGAAAGGTGGCTTCCAGAGATACACCCAAAGCTACTCCAGGATACCGGAGAGGGATCGGGACATCCCCAGGCGATCCAGATTCCACGGCAAATTACGCCCCCGCCAATAACCTCAACGGAATGGGATGGACCCCGGTATCCTTTCCTCTACCTAGGAACTAGCGCACCTGTGGGAGAAATCCCAAAGGCCAAAAAGTGGAAGGGCAAAAGGGAGGGGTGGGGAGGGGGAGGAGGAAAGGAAAAAGGGGAGGGGAGATTGGGGGGTAATTAGGTTCGGTCTGAGGAAGAAGACCGACAGGTCTAATTCCTCAGACCAAGAGCCTCTTCACCATGCCAAGAAACCCCCCTTGAAGAGGATTTCAGAAGGAAAATACAAAAAAAAAGGTAGTCATCATATAAGTTTTCTTTGGCTTTAAAAGGCTCACAGGGTTTAAAAACATTGTGAAACTTTTTTTGAATACATAAAAACATGTATTGCATTTTTATTAAAGTCTTTACTTATGGATAATTGTTACAGCTCTCATAATTTAGGGTTTTAATAACATGTACCATTGTGAATTAAAACATTAGAAATCAATGAACTTTGGTATGTGAAGATTCCATCATGGCACTTGAACTATAATAATATGGCACACTAAGACATGCACATCTTGGTGCAACTATGTAGGTAAAAACATAGCCACTTCACAATATATAATGTCCCCATATTATAATCAATATTATCACCTTATTATGATAAACTTTTCAGGTTATAAACAATATTGTCTCCTTGTAATACACCTGAGTAAGTAATAACTAAACTATTCATTCACAGACTACTTAAATATTATCAGCACAATATATAATTGCATAATATCAGCATATAAAATAAATCATTATCACACTATTCATACACAACAGGTTATCCATTATATAATGTCCAATTAGCTCTTAAGCTTGTCTCTATAAAGCAATTTTTTTGTAAAGTACAGCATATACATGCAAGACTGAATAGTGTGTGGAAAGGCCTTCACTGTACACTATTTTGTTTTGGATGTACTTTTTTAATTGCATTAACAAAAAAATCATACCATATAGAGGAAGTTTTTAAGAGTCAACTGCATGTATATATGTCATGATTCTTAAGATACAGCCTGCCAACTGGCCCAGTTGGTAAGGATCATTTTGTCAGGTGACCATGCTTTAATTTTATCAACTTCATAAAAATCAACTGGCACATTGCAAAATGAATCAATTTCATATATAATAAATAATACAAACTTAGAAAAACGGCAACTAATGAATGTTGGTGAATGTGTTTTCTTCTCAGGGTCACCCTGCCTTGGTATCAAATAGCTATTGTTAAAAAAATTACTAAAATTAAACTAACTTTACAAATGTTAGGCAGGGTTACACTAGACTGTACAAAATGGGCCACTTAAATTTGAGTAAGGTTAAGTTGAGTGTTGGGTTAGTTTTGGATGAAAGTAAAAAAATATGCATACTATATGTAGTGACATGAAAGTAGCATCAATCAATAAGATAAGCAGAACTGGAAAATTTAATAAAAATTAAGTTTTGCTGAGTAACTCTGCCTTCAAAGTACTACATATATAGTACAGTACTATGTTATTATTATAAAAACTATTTTTCACAGCCACTACAGACCTAAAGACTATTGCAGAAAATTATCCAGCAAATAATAATATAATACTGATTTCATTAAAAACTTTTAGTGGAATAAATATTTACATTCAGTCAATGAATTATGGAATATGGAGGTAATTAGTATTAAGTTGTATCATGTTGTCAACTTAAAAAAGTTATTCCAAAGCTTTTATACAAAAATCTAAATTGTATCCATTATTTATTAATTTGGCCTACTGTGGAATAAATATTGTCTTAATTCCAGTCTCATGATCACCTGAGATGGCAGGTACATCTTTGCACTTAGCTTTACTTCACTGTTTATTCCTTAATACTAGATAGGTCTTATTCCTGAAATATTTCAGAGCCATAGGGGTGATGATCCCTAGAAGCATAAACAGATATATACAATACCTCCACTGTTTTATAAGGTGTTAAATGTAGGCCAAAAGCATTTGATTTGACTATGGCATTAACAGTAACATTGTAATTTTCCCATGCCAAATACCACTTCCTTATTCCTTCCAGGACATGTAAATAAACTTGAAATTCTTTAGTTTAAGAATTAAATTATTATAATCGAGATCAGCATAAAACCCGTAAGGTTCAGAGAGTGCTGAGGAGAGGGATGTACAAAAGTAGGAACGTGCGAAGGTTAGGAGTGAAGGGTAGAAGGTGTACGAGAGAAAATTGGAAATTAAAGTTGGTGCAATAGGTAAGAAGTAAAGAACTTGCAGCAACACTATACTGCACCTATAAGGCTAACATTATATGACACTTTATCCAGGTTTCACTGAAGAAAATTCAAAAGTTCCTACAATGTATTACATGTGTAAAAATGTTTTACCTAACTGAGAAATGATGTGCTACATTTGCCAAGATGGTGCACCATACAAAGTGCTGATCTTCAGTCTAATTTTGCTTTCATGATTATGTTGTGCTACCCCTGGTTAAAATCTGAATGATGCATTCAAATTTTCTAGATAATGTGCTACACTTCATATGATGTTAATCTACACTTTTTGATATGCTATAGAAAAATTCCACGTAATATATCAGAACATTGCTACATTTGACTATCATCCTAAAAAAAGTAGAGATTACAAAAATATTAATAACAATAAGCAGAGTAGTATAATACAGCAAAAACAATGAAAATAATAATAATAATCATAATACTGTAATAATAATAATAATAATGTACTGCAATAACAATAGTTATAATCCTAATAATGTAATAACAATAATTGTTTGTGTATAAGTAAAAACATTCTAAATAGCCAAACATACATGACAAGAATCATCAAATTCCGATGTGTTTTTGAATCGACACATTTTTCACATATGCCAGTAGAAATTCCAGTTCACGTTGCTCTCTGAACCCACACAATACCCCCATCCCCTCATCCCAGTAATACTTAGTGTTTCATTATACTGCTTGGCAGGTAGCCTCATAACATGGTCCAGCTTATACCCACCTTACCATACACTTCTTCCCCTCAAACATAATTTTGATGGCAATGTTCTCAGCACATATTTAGAACAGTTACAAATAAAATCAAAGCAGGTTCAAGAGTGTGAATATATATTTAAGGTGGATGGAAGAGGTAGGGGATAATCTGAGGAAAAGTGGGAAGGTGGGTTTGAAGGATGTACATTACTGAAGGGTAGGTAGAGGCTTAAACCTATGAGGCATCCTTGGTGCAAGGCAAGGCATGACTGATGCTTGACCCTCCATCTGTTTATCATATATGAGCATGTTAGACTGGAGTGGGCTTTGACTTACTATTGAAGTATGGGCATAGTACAGTAATAACTTTGAAGGGATGTAGGTAATATGGCTAGTCAGACTTTAGTTTGCAAGATTGGGAAGCTCCTACAATTTGAAAGTATGGTGAAAAAGTTGTAGTTTGGTCAGTCAATATGAATGCTCTTCTGAAAAGGGTTGGACAGTGGTAGTGAACATGTTCTTTCTTTGCTTCATCCTCTAATGGGTAATGGTAGGAAATAGCTAATGAGTACATACAAATGTATATATGTAGTAGTAATATATTTTTTACACACACACACCCACACATGCATCCATGTGCACACACAAACAATACTGTTGTTACACCCAAGATAATTAAGTCAATTATATTTAATAATTACATTTTGTGCACATGAAAAGATAACATGATTTTATACAATTATTGCATACAATGAAATACCACACTACAAAGATCATTACTTGAAAAAATAATAGTGTTTATGTGTTTACGCTACATTTCATACCAGTATATACTCGAGTATAACCTGACGGCATGTATAGTTGACTCGGCTTTTTGCCAGAAAACCCTTAATTTTCATACATATCAAGTATAGGTTTATCAAAATTTTAAGGGACTTTAAAGGAATCAAATGATTCTGATGCAAAATATATTCTAACCAAAACCTGAAAAAGAAACTATACAAAAAAATGTAAAAATAGGGTTGAAAACTTTAGTTGTGACAAAAGCAGAAAAACAGTTAGTCAAAACACATGATAAACATAATGAGCACTGCTTAAGACCTACTCATGCTGGACAGATCTTATTCATATCCATTACATAATAACTTAAGAACAAAGCAGAACTGCAGTAGGCCTACTGGCCAATGCATCAACATACAGGTCAGAAGGTAAGGGTGAGATTTAAAACTAAAAAAAAAAAATAAAAGATCTCAATTTGATAATTTTCACATACACAGGAATTACCTTTAATCAAAAAGCAAACATTAAATCTGTTTTCATCTTTAAATACACAAATGAAACTTGTTTTCACTGGGAGGCAGGCAGAAGGTGGGTTATTTTTTCTTTTAAAAATGTGCACACCATGGAAGATATGACAATACCTGTAGAAAATATGACAAGAATGTTTTTGTATCCTTTAGTAGTACTTATAGTGTCATGTAAGACTGCAGATACCCATAATCATCCTATACTATATAAAACTGTACAATCAACTGGTTTCACTACTTTCTCTTATTTTGGGCATAGTTTGCCATAACAAAATTCAGAAAATTTTGTGTCTGCCCCACCACCCCAGGCATTCAGTTCCCTGTGCTATTGGCCCATGCTAGGTAAGTCCTATTCATATGACAATTAAATACAAATAGAAGTGCACTGTAGCAAGCCCAATGGCCCAGGCTAGGGAGGTCCTAATCACATCCAACAAGTTTGCCTGATAGAAACTAAAAAAAAACTGTGGTTGGCAGATAGGATAGGATGGGGAAGGATGGTTGGGATAGTTGACCATGAAAAAAAAAAAAAAAAAAAGGATTTGGGGATGAACAAATGGCACCCTCTCCCCCCCCCCCCATGCAATTACTGATCAATAACATTTGTTTACATTATCCTATGCAACTATGATTTGCATTTCATACTGATAAAGTGAAAAGAGAAATTAAGCACTGGTTTGTCTTGACAATGAGAACAGTGCCCTTTCTGGCAACTCTGCAGTGATCCCAAGTTGCACTGTAAACAAACAGAAGGAAGAGGGTGGCACAAATGAAACTATTGGATATTATCAAATTTATTTGTATATTTAAGATGGAATATAGTTACCAAGTGTGTATGTGCCCTTGACACTGAAGGCCCTCAACATGTAATGACTTTAATCTCTCCAAAGTATTGCTCAAGAACAGGTCAGCTCTCCCCACTTTGTCTTAAAATTTTTGTCTTAGAACCTCAACCTATACTCGAGTATATATGGTACTACAAATCAAAACAATGAAAACATTCCATATTTACTGAGTGGTACTCCTTGACAGAATACTCTACATGAAAATATATACATGTACTTCATACATGCACTTGCTAGTTACTATATGCTGGTATATATAAATATATTTATACATGCCATCTTTACTTTCAAGTTCAATCTATACAGTGGACCCCCGCATAACGATCACCTCTCAATGCGACCACTTATGTAAGTGTATTTATGTAAGTGTGTTTGTACGTGTATGTTTGGGGGTCTGAAATGGACTAATCTACTTCACAATATTCCTTATGGGAACAAATTCGGTCAGTACTGGCACCTGAACATACTTCTGGAATTAAAAAATATCGTTAACCGGGGGTCCACTGTACTTCCAACGAGAAGGATGTGCATTTGTACTTCCATCATTCATATCCAGACTAGATTTGACCTTGGTTTTTACTATAATGAACCAGCTCACTGTAAATGCTAAAAACAGTCACATTCCACCTGTACTTCCAAAATTTAAAAAAAAAAAAAATTACCTATAATTAACAATGGCACACCGAACAATATTTATTCTCTTCCTAGTTTACATTGAACTGCATTGTGACCATAATGCACCCAAGGTAAACACTGTTTCTTAACTTTCCTCCTTGGAATATTCTATTGCTGTGTATTTTTTAAGATATTTGCACTATATTTATCGTAAGAAGCTTTAATTCAAATTCTTTTGAGACAAGAATGATCTGAAAAGATTATTAAGTGTTATTATCCAGAATTAATATCAAATAAAATCATTTTAACAAAACAAAATCATTTATACAGTACTAGCATTTTTATACTATTATTTGTGTTGCTTATCACAGAATTAACAGATGATGCTGCAGAGAGCACAAGTCAAATTCATATTTTAAGTAATTAAATTACATTATACACTACATTGCATATACGTACAATTAATAGAAAATTAGATCTAACTTCAGGGAATTTATATAAAAAACTTTAGAGTACTATACTGTACAAATATAGAATTATGGTTATTGTGCCGCTAAAAATAAAGTAGTGTACAGTATCAGCTTATACTTCTACTTAACAACACAAATTTTAACAACTAAATTCATTTGGTATCTTGGAGAGATTGAATTAGCACACAGATTTTTAAAGACGAATTTTGCAAACTGGACTGATTTATACAGAAGCATTTTTTTTTTTTTTGCAAGGAGATAGCACTGCTAAAATATAACAGTGGCCTCAAATGGTAATGCAACTCTGGTGTGATCAATGGAAGAGTATGGGAGGCCTAAGAAAGGGTGCACAAGTGTGAAACAGTAACAGATTCATTAATTAATAAAGGTGTTATGGGTAGCTGAATAAGGTGGCAGTAAAAATATATACAGAGTATAAACTGTAGAAAAAACAATTTGATAAAATCTTTGTTTCAAAGTACTGTTGTCTTATACTGTTACATATCTTCAGAAAAGTGTTCTCATATGTGACTGCAGTCAATAAATCAATTACTATATGTACTTACAAAGATATAAAAAAGTTAATGGAGATTTCAAAATCATATAAATTCACTATCCAACATGCATCTAGGCTTAGTTGTTTTTGATTAACCTTCTTCACTTTACAAGATTTGTCTGAATCCATTCTTCATCCAGCTCTTCTAAGTCTCGTATTTGGAACACCTTGGTAAGCTCACATTCCTTGATCATGTGGTTGTAACTCCCAGCATACATCATCTGCAGTTGTGGCTGGCAGTCTGACAGCAAATGAATTGGCAAAATAATTTTTGGTGGTGAGAAAGGCAATACAGCAATATACAGTGGACCCCCAGTTAACGATATTTTTTCACTCCAGAAGTATGTTCAGGTGCCAGTACTGACCGAATTTGTTCCCATAAGAAATATTGTGAAGTAGATTAGTCCATTTCAGACCCCCAAACATACACGTACAAACGCACTTACATAAATACACTTACATAATTGGTCGCATTCGGAGGTAATCGTTATGCGGGGGTCCACTGTATAAGATAAGAGTCACTGAATGCCCATTAACAATAACTGCTATCATTAACTTTTTTTTTAACACACTAGCTGTTTTTAAAAATGGCAGGGTAACCCAACAATGGAGAACACTTTCACTATCATTCATTCCTTAGCTGTCTATCCAGGAAAGTATGTGCATCGTAACGTAATCCCAATAAAGAAATGGAATAATACCCCACCTATCTTACGGTACACTCCCAACCTCCAGGATTCAGGTCTAGCTACTGGTTTCCCTAAATTCTTTCATGAATATTACAGTGCTCACATTCCAACAGTACATCAAATTTCAAAAAAACTAGTTGTCTCCACTCTGACCTAACACTTGTGTGTGTTTCCTTTATGCTCAAGAACTTACTTTTTCCAATCCAGTTATCCACCCTTTTAAATGGCCAGTCCCTACCACAGCAAACATTTTTACCCATCTCCCCAAAATTCTTTTCTCCTTTCTCCAATCTTTCTCCTTTACTAAACTCTCATATATTTTTTTTTGTTTTTTTTGACATCGGCCATCTCCCACTAAAGCAGAGTGAGTCGTTGAAGAAACTACATTCCCAACATTCATTCAATAGTTGTCCTGTCATTAGTGCACAGACATCACACCTCCAATGGCCCTCTGAACTGCAACAACCCACTCCTACTCATCCATACTCTAAGCTACATGAAGCCATAACAATCCTGTTGATATATTGTACACTATACTGCAATACATTTTACAGCATATGAATACATTAAATTAGGTGCTACAATCAACTAGATAAATTTTGCAGCTTTGCACAAATCTCAAACCAAGCACTTTGCTTCTTACAATTCTTTAACGCAACTAACTTATTTCAGATAATCACTCTTTCTTTTTTCAACGCACCGGCTGTATCCCACCAAGGCATGGTGGCCCAAAAAGAAAAACGAAAGTTTCTCTTTTTAAATTTAGTAACTTATACAAGAGAAGGGGTCACTAGCCCCTTGCCCCCGGCATTTTAGTCACCTCTTACAACACGCATGGCTTACGGAGGAAGAATTCTGTTCCACTTCCCCATGGAGATAAGAGGAAATAAACAAGAACAAGAACTAGAAAGAAAATAGCAGAAAACCTAGACAGGTGTGTACATATATGCTTGTACATGTATGTGTAGTGTGACCTTGGTGTAAGTAGAAGTAGCAAGACGTACCTGAAATCTTGCATGTTTATGAGACAGAAAAAAAGGACACCAGCAATCCTACCATCATGTAAAATAATTACAGGCCTTTGTTTTACACTCACTTGGCAAGATGGTAGTACCTCCCTGGGTGGTTGCTGTATACCAACCTACTACCTAGGAGATAATCACTCATACTCATCAAATAGGCGAGAAAATCACGTCTGTAATTTTACTTTACAGTACGTATTATTATTCAGTCACTCCTGCACTTGCATTTTTTCTGAATAAGAGAAAGACAACCATAGATATATACCTCTTGGTGTTGTGAAGATGAAGGCCATTGGATAGGAAACCCTACCATCTTGATGTTCAATACGCCAGGAAATGAGGACATACCGAGGTTGAGTGTCTTTGATGGAGTTCCGCAGCTCGTCCATATCCTCTACATTATCCAGTTCTTCCTCCAAGATTATCTCTGAAGACTGCTGGTCTACTTTCACTGCAAAAGTGCAGATGAATACTGTTTGAAAATACTGTGTTAATATAATTTTTACCTTAATTGTACAGTATAGCTGCGGAACTTTACAATAAAAATAAAAGTTAACTAGAAATAATTACTGGTATATATAAATGTATGAAAGAGGGGAAGGTACCTAGGGATTGACAGAGAGCATGTATAGTCCCTTTATATAAAGGGAAAGGGGACAAAAGAGACTGTAAAAATTATAGAGGAATAAGCTTACTGAGTATACCAGGAAAAGTGTACGGTAGGATTATAATTGAAAGAATTAGAGGTAAGACAGAATGTAGGATTGCGGATGAGCAAGGAGGTTTTAGAGTGGGTAGGGGATGTGTAGATCAGGTGTTTACATTGAAGCATATATGTGAACAGTATTTAGATAAAGATAGGGAAGTTTTTATTGCATTTATGGATTTAGAAAAGGCATATGATAGAGTGGATAGAGGAGCAATGTGGCAGATGTTGCAAGTATATGGAATAGGTGGTAAATGCTGTAAAGAGTTTTTATGAGGATAGTGAGGCTCAGGTTAGGGTGTGTAGAAGAGTGGGAGACTACTTCCCGGTAAAAGTAGGTCTTAGACAGGGATGTGTAATGTCACCATGGTTGTTTAATATATTTATAGATGGGGTTGTAAAGGAAGTAAATGCTAGGGTGTTTGGGAGAGGGGTGGGATTAAATTATGGGGAATCAAATTAAAAATGGGAATTGACACAGTTACTTTTTGCTGATGATACTGTGCTTATGGGAGATTTTAAAGAAAAATTGCAAAGGTTAGTGGATGAGTTTGGGAATGTGTGTAAAGGTAGAAAGTTGAAAGTGAACATAGAAAAGAGTAAGGTGATGAGGGTGTCAAATGATTTAGATAAAGAAAAATTGGATATCAAATTGGGGAGGAGGAGTATGGAAGAAGTGAATGTTTTCAGATACTTGGGAGTTGACGTGTCAGCGGATGGATTTATGAAGGATGAGGTTAATCATAGAATTGATGAGGGAAAAAAGGCGAGTGGTGTGTTGAGGTATATGTGGAGTCAAAAAACGTTATCTATGGAGGCAAAGAAGGGAATGTATGAAAGTATAGTAGTATACCAACACTCTTATATGGGTGTGAAGCTTGGGTGGTAAATGCAGCAGCGAGGAGACGGTTGGAGGCAGTGGAGATGTCCTGTTTAAGGGCAATGTGTGGTGTAAATATTATGCAGAAAATTCAGAGTGTGGAAATTAGGAGAAGGTGTGGAGTTAATAAAAGTATTAGTCAGAGGGCAGAAGAGGGGTTGTTGAGGTGGTTTGGTCATTTAGAGAGAATGGATCAAAGTAGAATGACATGGAAAGCATATAAATCTATAGGGGAAGGAAGGCGGGGTAGGGTCGTCCTCGAAAGGGTTGGAGAGAGGGGGTAAGGAGGTTTTGTGGGTAAGGGGCTTGGACTTCCAGCAAGCGTGCGTGAGCGTGTTAGATAGGAGTGAATGGAGACGAATGGTACTTGGGACCTGACGATCTGTTGGAGTGTGAGCAGGGTAATATTTAGTGAAGGGATTCAGGGAAACCGGTTATTTTCATATAGTCGGACTTGAGTCCTGGAAATGGGAAGTACAATGCCTGCACTTTAAAGGAGGGGTTTGGGATATTGGCAGTTTGGAGGGATATGTTGTGTATCTTTATATGTGTATGCTTCTAGACTGTTGTATTCTGAGCACCTCTGCAAAAACAGTGATAATGTGCGAATGTGGTGAAAGTGTTGAATGATGATGAAAGTATTTTCTCTTTGGGGATTTTCTTTCTTTTTTGGGTCACCCTGCCTCGGTGGGAGACGGCCGACTTGTTGAAAAAAAAAAAAAAAAAAAAAAAATATATATATAAAAGCTGAAAATTGGTAGAAATGTAAAGATATATATCCGCAACATTTTGCTAAAAATTCCATCGCATCCTACAACAGCATTAACCATCATCTTAACTCTTAACATACACCATACATTGAGGGACCAGACCAACATACATCATATGCTTTCAAATATGCCACCTGCCACCATTTTAGGTTTTAGCTCAAATGTTTCGATGCCTACAACCTCCAGGTTCATAAATTCTGCATGAAAATTATTTCCTTCATCATCTACAGTCTAATACTGTATCTGAACTACATATACAGTAGTCCCCTGTATCTGCAGGGGATATGTTCCAAGACTTGCCACGGATACTATTGAACCCTAGATATAGGAGGACCCTGCTTATACAGCAGATTAGGTTCTGGGCTACCACTGTAAAGTGAAGCATAGTGCTTTTTCACTTTCAGCTGCACATAAAAGCCTGATAACATGTTCACAGTATCATAATAGGCGAGCAATGGAGCTAGGCTTAAAAAATGCATATACTAGAGTACACAATAAAAAAAAAACACTTAAAATATTTTTGTCCTTAGCTAATAGTGAGTAGTGAATATATTTATTGTAGCAATTCTAAATAAATGAAGAATGGGTATAACTGAAAACCATTGCATTAGTGAAATGCTGTAAAGCATATATATCTATGATAATGTTTAACAGATAAATTATGCACAATAAGTGGAGAATTATCACTTTTTCACTGATGGGAAGCACTTCATGGCTTCTCTTAGGCTTTGAAGAACTGTCACCATCACTACTTCTGTGCTTTGGTGCATTATTAAGCAAAATTAAGGGTTATTTTCATGCCACAGTAAACTACGGAAACCAAAACTGTGGGTAGTGGGTTCCACTGTACTCCATCATTAATAAAACTGCCTTGTTCCTTATTTGCCCAATACTGCCATTCTCTACGCCTTCCGGAAGTGGTAAGGATTCCAAATCCTCAATAGTGCCCATATTCATCTTTATCGCCCTAGACTTTGTACAAGGGCATCAATTCTCCTCTATTATTTGCTAATTTTACCTTCTTCACCCAAGATCACACATTATATGTAACCATTTTATAACTTTGCCCTCTGTAAAGCTATTGGATACCTATAGTGTTATCTCCTTTTAATACCATTGCTGTTTGTATGTCCACTCTTGGAACTTACCATTACTAGTCTTTTGCAATCTCTCAAGTAAAACTTGGCTTTTATCAACATGTATTTCACTTATTACATATCCAACTTTTTCTGACCACAAGTAAAACTATTTAATTCTCTGCCAGCAGTGCAGAATCATAAATAACAACAGAAAGGGCTTTCATCCCATCCAGGGCCTGCTTTACTCTTTTTCTAGTTACCGTATTCAGCTGACTGACCCAGAAAGTTAAACCATGCATGAACTTTTTCCACTGTACTGTATATATTTCAACTAATGTACCACTATGTGCTTATACTACTGGAATTCATTCAGCTGTTCATAATAAAATGATTCTGCAGAAAATTTCAGCATATATCTGAATTAATGTATAAAATACTAAGAGATGAAATTAACAATAGACTGTAGTGGTGCAAACATGTCATGATTTACTTATGATAGCAGCATTGGTTGTAGCACGGCGAAATCTGAATTTGCGGAGAAGGTCCTTTAAGCTTGGATTTATTGTACACAACTGCAGACTCTGATGAAAGACACACAATTAGTTACAGGAACGATACATGTTTACATGTTACATGTTTACTAAATTGTAACAAATTAGTCTCAGTATAAACTGCTTAAATGAAGGAAACCTGCATAATACACAAATAACCCGTACATAGGAGAGAGGAGCTCACAACGATGTTTCAGTCCAACTTACCCCATTTACAAAGTCACACTAACAAAAAGGAGAGGAGGAGGGAATATATATAGACCAGCAGACACGGACGGGTACAGAGAGGAACCTCGGTTTTTGTGATTAATTCGTTCCAGAAAGTCTGATGAAAACCAAACTGTATGAAAACTGAAGCAATATTTCCCATAAGAAATAATGTAAATCCAATTTATTGTTCCAGACACCCAAAAATATTAACAAAAAAATACATTTTATAGAGAATAACTATAGCTTTACATACAGAAAACAATGCAAAATAAATGTAAATGACTAATGAAATGGATAAATGAATATTTAACATCACTTTTACATTTATTGAGGGCTCTTGCTGGTGTATGGAAGACGGCGAGGAGGGGAGAGGGAGGAGAGGTTATTGTTTGGAAGGGGAATCCCCTCCATAAGGACTTCAGGTATCAAGGCCCTATCTGGGGTTACTTCCCTTCTTTGTCTTTTACTAGCACTAAGACCATCTTGAGAGTCACTGGACCCCTGTCGCATAAAAAAATCTGTCCAGAGAGGTCTGTTTCTGGTGTCTCTTTAAGATTTACCTAAATTGGGACATGGCATTGTCACTGAACTTGTTGCCGACATGTCTTGCAACAGCTTTGTTAGGGTGATATTTCTCCACAAAACTTCACAACTCATTCCAATTTGCACACATGTCCTTAGTCACTGAAGAAGGCACATTCTCCCCTCTCTCTTCCTCCTCCTCTGAAGAAATTTCCTCAGCTGTGGTCTGTTGCTGTTCCAGATGAAGGTCACGCAGCTCTTCAGGGGTTAGCTCTTCCCTGTGGTCGTCCACCAACTCTTCCACCAAAACACTATCTCCCGCTAACTGTTTTTCGCTAAAGCTCCCGCTTCACACACGGAGGGCCCAGGTTCGATTCCTGGCGGGTGGAAACATTTCGACACGTTTCCTTACACCTGTTGTCCTGTTCACCTAGCAGCAAATAGGTACCTGGGTGTTAGTCGACTGGTGTGGGTCGCATCCTGGGGGACAAGATTAAGGACCCCAATGGAAATAAGTTAGACAGTCCTCGATGACGCACTGACTTTCTTGGGTTATCCTGGGTGGCTAACCCTCCGGGGATTAAAAATCCGAACAAAATCTTATCTTATCTTAACAACAACTTCTCAACATCTTCGATTGTTTGCGATCTCTGTTTCGTTAGCACATTTACCCCTTTCGCAATATCAGCTTCCTTGATTTCTTTTTTCTTCACCATGATGGAACTGATGCAGACTTCTCGTACATCCTGGCGAGATTGGCTACGTGTACGCCACTTTTGTACTTTGCTACGAGTTCTTTCTTGAATTCTATCGTGTTTCTCGCCTTCTTTATCAAAGAGCTGGCACTAAGAACTTTCTTTGGCCTCATGGTGGCTTATTTAGCAGCTGTACTCAATAAACAAGCACACAAAAAATGGATTATTACGAAATGTTATCCAAGCATGCGAGGTAATGTTCACTCAACGATAAACAAAACCAGACTGAGTTAAAACATGTGGGATGCTTTGTGTGGGCATGGGCAGGCAGATGCATTTGGTATGAACCACTGTCAACTCTATGAAAACCGAGTGGATGTACGAAAGCTGGGACAAAATTTAGACGGAAAAAGTCGTCAAAAACCGAATCCTAAGAAAACCGAGGTTCCACTGCAGTAGGAAAGGAAGAAAAGAGGTAGAGGTAGAGGTGGTGGTGGCAGTGGCAGCAGCAGTGGTATAGTAGTATTAGTACTAGTAGTAGGATTAATAGTAGTAGTACTGGTACTAGTGGAGCCAGTCAAAGACTAAGAGGAGTACTGCAAGGGAGCTAGGGGCCCCACAAAGGGTAGGGACAAGAACACAGAGGGCAGAAAAATAAATATGGACCAAACACCCAAGGCAGAAGAAAGAAAACCCAAAGGAGAAAGAGGAAAGGGGAAGAGGGAGAAGGGGAAAAAAAGAATCAGGTTAAGCTATGGGTGTTCTGAAATTTGAAGTATTTTACAGTGTAATGGGAAATGAAGGTGTCTACAGAGACAATGCCAGGACTAAGATTCATACAAGGAAAGTTGTGTATAAGGGAGGATTCAACCAGATGGCGACTGTGAAAGTTAGAAGTAGAGTAGACAGAAATTATGAAACAATAAAAATTTATAAAAATTACAATCAAAATATAAATATTTTTTGCTTGATTTGCAATATGAATGTCTGTACACTTATGTCCGCATTGAGACTATTTTTGTGTGCAGTATATACTCAACAGAATGTGCATACAAGCAACATGTCTATAGCATTTACAGCTGCTGTTACATAAACAATCTTTTTTTCATGCACCACTTTTAAAGTTATTACTTAGTGAAGAATACAGTACCACAAGTACTAGATCCCATATCAAGCAAGCTTAGAACCAGAAGAGTGCCAGATTTGGATTCTCTGGTTTTCAGGTCCTTTATAGTTTATACAACAAAATAAAATTTTATTTTAATTTTTTTCAATTGTTTTTGACCAACTGGTGTCAAGAAATCGGGATTTTTTTTTAGTCTAATTTTGGTTATGTTATTGTAAACTACGTACAGTTAACTAAATACCTGCCCCTTCGAACCTAGGCAATGAAGTTTTCTGAAAGCAACTGGGAAATGTAACACTTTTTTAAGAGTAATGACCTATTCAACCAACTGTGACAAACTACAGTATCCTAACTATTTTGATATTAAATTATCTATACTAATATTTTAGCCTCCTATTAATACCTTATAATAGATGTATTAAAAAAACCTATGTAGTCTTAATTAGTCAAAATTAATACCCTGTACTAGAGCCATAAAAATCAATTGAGTCTTATTACATACTAGTATTTCTAAAGTTTTCCAGAATTGCTGTGCATTCTTTGGACTGTCTAATTATTGTATATTTTGTAAAATGATTTGAAATACAACTACAGTGGACCCCCGCTTTACGATCAGCTCCCAATGCAACCAATTATGTAAGTGTATTATGTAAGTGCGTTTGTACGTATATGTTTGGGGGTCTGAAATGGACTAATCTAATTCACAATATTCCTTATGGGAACAGATTCGTTCAGTAATGGCACATGAACATACTTCTGGAATGAAATAATATCGTAAACCGGGGGTCCACTGTAATTTAATTTTAATTTGCAATAAAGTAATACAGCACAGTACGTATATTGTACAATATGGCAGTCTGAAGGATAATACTAAAATTGAGGGTTTCTGGTGTAAGGGAAGTGGCAGGCAGACAATGTAATATAAGAGGATACAATGGCACCGGCTTGTTACCCTTGCGCAAGTACAGTACAATATTAGTTTTTAGTGGGGCCAACACTGAACCTCCTATTTTACCTCTGTCCAGTCTGCTGCCCATATAGAGTACACACGTTACTTACTTTAAAATATTTTCATCCTTAGCTTATAGCGAGTGGTGAATACATTTATTGTAGGAAGTCTGAGTAAATGAAGAATGGGCATAATTGAAAACCACTGCATTAGTGAAATGCTATAAAGTGAAGCACTGTAAAGTAGGGCCCTCCTGTACACACCATAGAAGCCTCAATGGAAATTAATCCTTACGAGGAATTGTAGAGCTATTTTACATCATTGATTTTTGTTGTTGGGGTTGGAGTTTTGCGAGCCACTAACAACTTATGCCATATACAGCCTACAGCCCTATGTCCAGGAAGGAAATATTGTTCAGATTTGAGCAAAGAAGGAAAATGGGATAAGCATCACTAAACATGAAAGAATTATATCAAGATAGATCTCCCCTCTCGTCCAAGCCCTCACAAAGCTTTTAACTAAAGCCACACAAATGAGGAAGAAAGGATGAAACCAGATGTCTCGAAAAAAGATGAGGGGAATTTTTTTTTTCTACAGATTTTACTGATATTTAAATGCTCATACAGAAAGGTCAGCACAAAAATCCTATCCTAGGTTAACTAGTAAACAACATTTTGATTACACAATCAAAATTTTTAACTTGATAGCATGATACGTAAACGAAAATTACATTTATGTATGTACTGGGTAAATACTGAATGTAGCCGCTCAGGTTTCTCTTTATGTAAATCTCCAATATTTGCAAGTTGTGCAAGTAGCAATTATATTTTGATACATTAAATAAAAACTATATTTTGCTATGAAATGAAATGTAACCCAAGTGAAATGAAATGTAACCCAAATGAAATGAAATGTAACCCAATCTGGCCTAACCTAAAATTACTCCTTTTTTTGGTTAGGTTTAGTTACAATGGGTTACGTTGGGTTACCAAGAATCTGCTAGTTTTTTAACCATAGACCCAAAATATAATGTCTCCACTGCACAACCCACTTAAGTTGAAGAATTTACATAAAAAAACGCACATTTATGATGAAATCATAGCAGCTGAAGTTAATACTGATCATGTACTGTACTGTAATGACCTTGTATCATGATGACCTGGAAAAAAAAGATTATCTTACTAACCATTATTGAAATTCTCAAATTCCTGACACGCAAGGGCAATTGCTGCTCTGCCTCAGATATTTCTATGATATATGGATATGTTTCTCTCCGGTTCTTGATACAATACAATACCACGTCTACTGACTGCTCCTTCTGACTCAACTACAAGCTTGATACACCCTGAAAATTACAGATTATTTGCGTCGGTTACATTGCGAGTCTGATATTAACTACTTTCACTTTTCATACTATCTAAATTTACCTTGTTCTGTGTTTTTATTAAGCAAATAAATAGTTTATTATGACCTAAAAAATTTAAAACCTTGTTTTTTTATATGTTTTCTGTTAATGTACTGAAGTATACACGTTTAGCAATTGCAAGAAATAAATTCCGGATTGTATCAAATTTTCAGAAGAGGGGCGTGTTGATAAGCTTCAGAGACTACTAGGTCATAAAATTATGATAATATTTTCAGTGATTAATAATGATAACAAACGCTTTATATATCTTGTAAATATTGTAATCATTATAACTAAAAAAAATGCTTGGTTTACATGCTAAACGTTGTCATAATATAATAAGACCTGCTGTCCCTGTTCACCCATCAGTATAAAATGGGTACCTGGGTGTTAGTCGACTGGTGTGGGTCGCATCCTGGGACAAAACTGACCTAATTTTCGCTGTATGACCCTTGTAGGTTTAGCGCTTCATTTTGATTATAATAATAACCTAATTTTCCCGAAATGCTAGGCATACGGCTTTCTATATTGATGTCAGCAAAGCCTATATACCTTGTACATGTAAAAATAGGTATTTTTATATTATTATTTATTCTGCCAGTGTCTTTATTACTAGTTAGTATTAAACAAGTTTATTCATGTATACATAAATACAGTTATATAGATTATCAAACATAGCATATGTGTGGAGAACCTAGGATAACCCAAATTATTATTATAATCAAGGGGAAGCGCTAAACCCAGAGGATTATACAGCGCCTGGGGGGGGGGAGGATGTGGAAGGCATTCAGGCTTAATTCGGGGAACTGGAGCACAGATCCAATTCCCTAAATCAAGAGCCCCTCATCAACATCAAGGAACCTTCCTTGAGGGGAGGATAACCCAAAAAAGTCAGACGAGGAAGTGATAAAACCGTAGGGGCATACAGCACCCGAGGAACGGGAGATCTAGCTTGATCCGAGAAATTCGGCTTGTTCTTCCCTTCTTCAGATCGAACCCAAGTTTCCCCAATTCCGCAATGGCTGTATGACCCGCACAAATTTAGCGCTTTCCCCTAAGTGTAAAAATAATGCAATTCCTTGGATCAAAACCCTTTCAGCATCAAGGCATCATTATTATTATAATCAAGGGAAAGCATTAAACCCGTAGGCTTATGCAGCGCCTGTGGGGAATGGGGTGGAAGGTATTCAGGCTTAATTCAGGGAGCTGGATTGTTATTATTATAATCAAGGGGAAGCGCTAAACCCGTAGGATTATACAGCGCCTGGGAGGGATGTGGAAGGCATTCAGGCTTAATTCGGGGAACTGGAGCACAGATCCAATTCCCTAAATCAAGAGTCCCTCACCAACATCAAGGAACCTTCCCTGAGGGGCAGGGAGCTGGAGCACAGATCCACTTCCCTAGATCAAGAGCCCCTTACCAGCATCAAGGAACCTCCTTGAGGGGCCTCAAGGCATCAAGGATGGTTATTGCAAATATATTTTTAGAGCAGGAGTACAGCGCTTACGAGTTTTAGTGCTTTGGTTATAATAATAGTAGTAATAGGTAGTAGGTTGGTAGACAGCAACCACCCAGGGAAGTACTACCGTCCTGCCAGATGACTGTGAAACAAAAACCTGTAACTGTTTTGCATGATGGTAGGATTGCTGGTTTCTTTTTCTGTCTCATAAACACGCTAAGATAACAGGGATATCTTGCTACTCCTACTTACACTTTGGTCACACTTCATAGACACGCACATGCATATATATATATATATACATACATCTAGGTTTTTCCCCTTTTTCTAAATAGCTCTTGTTCTTTTTTATTTCTTCTATTGTCCATGGGGAAGTGGAAAAGAATCTTTCCTCCGTAAGCCATGCGTGTCGTATGAGGCGACTAATATGCCGGGAGCAATGGGCTAGTAACCCCTTCTCCTGTATACAATTACTAAAAAAGAGAAGAAGAAAAACTATAAAACTGGGTTGCTTAAATGTGCGTGGATGTAGTGCGGATGACAAGAAACAGATGATTGCTGATGTTATGAATGAAAAGAAGTTGGATGTCCTGGCCCTAAGCGAAACAAAGCTGAAGGGGGTAGGAGAGTTTCAGTGGGGGGAAATAAATGGGATTAAATCTGGAGTATCTGAGAGAGTTAGAGCAAAGGAAGGGGTAGCAGTAATGTTAAATGATCAGTTATGGAAGGAGAAAAGAGAATATGAATGTGTAAATTCAAGAATTATGTGGATTAAAGTAAAGGTTGGATGCGAGAAGTGGGTCATAATAAGCGTGTATGCACCTGGAGAAGAGAGGAATGCAGAGGAGAGAGAGAGAGATTTTGGGAGATGTTAAGTGAATGTATAGGAGCCCTTGAACCAAGTGAGAGAGTAATTGTGGTAGGGGACTTGAATGCTAAAGTAGGAGAAACTTTTAGAGAGGGTGTGGTAGGTAAGTTTGGGGTGCCAGGTGTAAATGATAATGGGAGCCCTTTGATTGAACTTTGTATAGAAAGGGGTTTAGTTATAGGTAATACATATTTTAAGAAAAAGAGGATAAATAAGTATACACGATATGATGTAGGGCGAAATGACAGTAGTTTGTTGGATTATGTATTGGTAGATAAAAGACTGTTGAGTAGACTTCAGGATGTACATGTTTATAGAGGGGCCACAGATATATCAGATCACTTTCTAGTTGTAGCTACACTGAGAGTAAAAGGTAGATGGGATACAAGGAGAATAGAAGCATCAGGGAAGAGAGAGGTAAAGGTTTATAAACTAAAAGAGGAGGCAGTTAGGGTAAGATATAAACAGCTATTGGAGGATAGATGGGATAATGAGAGCATAGGCAATGGGGTCGAAGAGGTATGGGGTAGGTTTAAAAATGTAGTGTTAGAGTGTTCAGCAGAAGTTTGTGGTTACAGGAAAGTGGGTGCAGGAGGGAAGAGGAGCGATTGGTGGAATGATGATGTAAAGAGAGTAGTAAGGGAGAAAAAGTTAGCATATGAGAAGTTTTTACAAAGTAGAAGTGATGCAAGGAGGGAAGAGTATATGGAGAAAAAGAGAGAAGTTAAGAGAGTGGTGAAGCAATGTAAAAAGAGAGCAAATGAGAGAGTGGGTGAGATGTTATCAACAAATTTTGTTGAAAATAAGAAAAAGTTTTGGAGTGAGATTAACAAGTTAAGAAAGCCTAGAGAACAAATGGATTTGTCAGTTAAAAATAGGAGAGGAGATTTATTAAATGGAGAGTTAGAGGTATTGGGAAGATGGAAGGAATATTTTGAGGAATTGTTAAATGTTGATGAAGATAGGGAAGCTGTGATTTCGTGTATAGGGCAAGGAGGAATAACATCTTGTAGGAGTGAGGAAGAGCCAGTTGTGAGTGTGGGGGAAGTTCGTGAGGCAGTAGGTAAAATGAAAGGGGGTAAGGCAGCCGGGATTGATGGGATAAAGATAGAAATGTTAAAAGCAGGTGGGGATATAGTTTTGGAGTGGTTGGTGCAATTATTTAATAAATGTATGGAAGAGGGTAAGGTACCTAGGGATTGGCAGAGAGCATGCATAGTTCCTTTGTATAAAGGCAAAGGGGATAAAAGAGAGTGCAAAAATTATAGGGGGATAAGTCTGTTGAGTGTACCTGGTAAAGTGTATGGTAGAGTTATAATTGAAAGAATTAAGAGTAAGACGGAGAATAGGATAGCAGATGAACAAGGAGGCTTTAGGAAAGGTAGGGGGTGTGTGGACCAGGTGTTTACAGTGAAACATATAAGTGAACAGTATTTAGATAAGGCTAAAGAGGTCTTTGTGGCATTTATGGATTTGGAAAAGGCGTATGACAGGGTGGATAGGGGGGCAATGTGGCAGATGTTGCAAGTGTATGGTGTAGGAGGTAGGTTACTGAAAGCAGTGAAGAGTTTTTTACGAGGATAGTGAGGCTCAAGTTAGAGTATGTAGGAAAGAGGGAAATTTTTTCCCAGTAAAAGTAGGCCTTAGACAAGGATGTGTGATGTCACCGTGGTTGTTTAATATATTTATAGATGGGGTTGTAAGAGAAGTAAATGCGAGGGTCTTGGCAAGAGGCGTGGAGTTAAAAGATAAAGAATCACACACAAAGTGGGAGTTGTCACAGCTGCTCTTTGCTGATGACACTGTGCTCTTGGGAGATTCTGAAGAGAAGTTGCAGAGATTGGTGGATGAATTTGGTAGGGTGTGCAAAAGAAGAAAATTAAAGGTGAATACAGGAAAGAGTAAGGTTATGAGGATAACAAAAAGATTAGGTGATGAAAGATTGAATATCAGATTGGAGGGAGAGAGTATGGAGGAGGTGAACGTATTCAGATATTTGGGAGTGGACGTGTCAGCGGATGGGTCTATGAAAGATGAGGTGAATCATAGAATTGATGAGGGAAAAAAGAGTGAGTGGTGCACTTAGGAGTCTGTGGAGACAAAGAACTTTGTCCTTGGAGGCAAAGAGGGGAATGTATGAGAGTATAGTTTTACCAACGCTCTTATATGGGTGTGAAGCGTGGGTGATGAATGTTGCAGCGAGGAGAAGGCTGGAGGCAGTGGAGATGTCATGTCTGAGGGCAATGTGTGGTGTGAATATAATGCAGAGAATTCGTAGTTTGGAAGTTAGGAGGAGGTGCGGGATTACCAAAACTGTTGTCCAGAGGGCTGAGGAAGGGTTGTTGAGGTGGTTCGGACATGTAGAGAGAATGGAGCGAAACAGAATGACTTCAAGAGTGTATCAGTCTGTAGTGGAAGGAAGGCGGGGTAGGGGTCGGCCTAGGAAGGGTTGGAGGGAGGGGGTAAAGGAGGTTTTGTGTGCGAGGGGCTTGGACTTCCAGCAGGCATGCGTGAGCGTGTTTGATAGGAGTGAATGGAGACAAATGGTTTTTAATACTTGACGTGCTGTTGGAGTGTGAGCAAAGTAACATTTATGAAGGGATTCAGGGAAACCGGCAGGCCGGACTTGAGTCCTGGAGATGGGAAGTACAGTGCCTGCACTCTGAAGGAGGGGTGTTAATGTTGCAGTTTAAAAACTGTAGTGTAAAGCACCCTTCTGGCAAGACAGTGATGGAGTGAATGATGGTGAAAGTTTTTCTTTTTCGGGCCACCCTGCCTTGGTGGGAATCGGCCGGTGTGATAATAGAATAAAAAAAAAATAATTTAAGATCAGGTAGTGCTAAGCCCATAGAAGTTGTATTATTATTATTACATTGTTGGAAAGTACTAAGCTCATAGTGATCTCCAGCATCTTGAGGAATGGAAGGTAATCAGGTTTCATGCAAGGAAGGGAAGGTCCAATTCCTTGGATCATAAGCCCTTTTACATCCGTCGAAGAACCTCCCATGAGCAAATGCAAAACATTCAGGTTCGATCCAAGGGGAGGACACATCCAGTTCTTCAGATCAATAGGCCCTCCCTAGCATCAAGGCACCTCCCTAGAGAGGATTAGCAGAGCATATCTGTATGTTACCTGTATTATATTCAGGGGGAAATGCTAAACCCATATGGGTTATAACAGAGGAATAGGTGAACAGGCTTGATCCATGGAAACTGAGGTAGCTTTAGTTGCATGGGTCAAGAGCCCTTTACCAGCATAAAGGTACCCTCTTTGAAAGGTATTACGAACACAGGTAATAATGGCCTGTGACCTGGTCGTAATGGGTTGGAGCAAGACAAACATAGCAGTAATATTTAACTTGTATTTCCTTCACCAAATGTTAATATAGTTATGTACACTTGTGTATATTATGTACAGAAGTTGAATATAAGTGTACCATATGGTGATAAAGGCAAAGACAGTAGCCTGAGAGAGAGCACCGTGCTTCAACCAGCTAGAGGCAAGTCTGGCAAGTGTTGACTGCGAGTGAACCATGTCACATTAGCATTTGGTGGGCTCGCCTATGATTGAACAATGAACCAAGGCACTGATTTAATGATGGGTACCCTTACCGTTAAACCCTTAGCACCTGGTTCGCTGGTTGGGAGGAAGCCTATATGGGAGTGTGCACATACGCCGAATAAAGTGTAACGTACTCTTTGCATGCCACAAAAGGTAATTTTTATTTCAATCATAACTAATTGCTAAACCTACAGGGGTCATACAATGCTGTTTTGAAGGGTGTAGGTTACCTGTAGGTACAGTTCCTAGTAATTTAGATGTTTGAATTTATATGGGCACTGAAGTAATTTTACATTCTACAGATCTACAATTTTGATAGTCCTGAGCTGTCAGTGTAGCTAAATCAATCATTATACGTACCAGCCTAGAGAGCACAAGTGCTTTTAAGAGCATCATCATTTGCTTCAATGGTGTCTTAAGAGCAGGTGAGACCCTGGAGCATTATGTTTAAATTGCATCATAAACTACACCTGGAAGATACTGGAGGGATTGGTCCCAAACCTGCATACACAAATTACGAGTTGTGATGCATATGTTGGACAACAGGAAGTGGGCACCAACAGCTTAATCATTCAGGTCAGTAACCAGGAGGCCTGGTCTGGGGCCTGGCTGGAGGGATAATGACTTCCAGAAGCAACTCCAGGTAGCCTCCAGATTTACTCTCCCCACATGGGCGATTGTTGTATCAAATACGAATGTCTCCCATTCCCCAGGCACCATATAATCCCTACGGGTTTAGTGCTCCCTCCTGATTTGAACATACTATTCTCACTGCCGCACCACAGGCATATACCATCTGCATGCCCATCTCTCCTTACAATGTTATTTGGTGGCATTTACACATTTGTGAAGGAGGCAGTTTGTAATGCATTATTGATGGCGGTGACTGAAACAAGCACTGCCACACAATATGCTTCGGTGTTATAGATCTAGAGTACTGCCCTTTTACGTTTTTTTTACATTGCATAAGGGCTCTACAAGAACATAACCCCCACATAATAGTCTCACTGTGCATCACAGTACTCAACACAATGGGACAATGGGTATTGTCATTGATGTCTAAAACTTTACCTGTATTATCAACACCAAAATTACACAAAATTCAACAATGACAGGTACTCCTAACAAATGTGATTAATACACAGTTATGTATCATTTACTTTAACAAAAACATAACTCAGTATTGAGCATACTGTAAATGCAGGCAGCACCAGTGATGTCATTTTTACTATCAGATACTAATTACACACTATAATAAGCATGTCCTTCAGTAGTGCCAGATGAACATTAGTTGAAATCATCCTCTGAACTACACCATCTCAACCATCTTTAAAGTGCAAGGACTGTACTTCCCATCATAAGAACCTGAGTCTAGCTAACTGGTTTACCATGAATCCCTTCACAAATGTTATCTTGCTCACATTCCAATAGCATTTCAAGTCTCTGCTCACTCTGATTTAACATGCCCACATGCCTGCTGGATGCTCGAGCCTTAACCAGTCAAAACTTCCTTCACTGCCTCCCTTCAATTCTTACCTATGTTTCCATCCACCTGAGATTTATAGAGCCTTTAGGTCAATCCATTTTGCTCATCCTTTCTAAATGACTAACCAACTCTAACAACCTCCTCTGCTCCCTGACTTGTACCTTTTGTGCCACACCATCACCTAATTTATTCTTCTTGGAGTCTACTTAATAACCACACATACACTGATCTCAAACATTACATCTTTTCTACCTCCAGCCTCCTCCTTGCTTCAACATTTAAAGACCATACCTTACACCCATATAAAAGTGTTGGCTATTGTTTGGAATGGGAATTCCCTTCCATAAGGAGTTCAGGTATCAAATCTCTATCCAGGGTTACTTCCCTTCTTTGTCTTTTACTGGCACTAGAACGAGCTTGAGAGTCACTGGACCCCTGTCGCACAAAAAATCTGTCCAGAGGGGTCTGTTTCTGGCGTCTCTTCAAGATTTGCCTAAAACGGTACAAGGCATTGTCGTTGAACATGTTGCAGACACGGCTTGCAACAGCTTTGTTAGGGTGATATTTCTCCACAAAACTTTGCAACTCACTCCACTTTGCACACATGTCCTTAATCACTGAAGAAGGCATATTCTCCCTTCTCTCTTCCTCCTCCTCCTCTGAAGCAATTTCCTCAGCTGTGATCTGTTGCTGCTCCAGTTGAAGGTCTTGCAGTTCTTCAGTGGTTAGTTGTTTCCTGTGGTCGTCCATCAACTCTTCCACATCCTGGCCACTCACATCCAACCCCATGGACTTCCCCAAAGCCACAATAGATTCCACAACAGGCATCGAGTTGTCAGGGTCAGCCTCAGACCCTTCAAAATCCTTCTCTTGGACACATTCTGGCCACTATTTCTCGCCTTCTTTATCAAAGGGCTGGCAATTGGAACTTTCTTTGGCCCCATGGTGGCTTATTTAGCAGTCACACTTAATAAACAAGCACAAAAAAATGGATTACAAAATGTTTTGTATGAAAGCGCAGGGCAATGTTCACTCGACGAGAAACAAAGCCAGACTCAGAATGCGTGCGTGGGATGCTTTGTGTGGGGGCAGGCAAGTGGACATGTCGGGTACGGCGGACGAAAACCAAGGTAATGAACAAAAACTGGGAAGAAAAAAAGTCGTCAAAAACTGATTTCGACGAAAACAAGGGCAAACGAAAACCGAGGTTCCACTGTACTGATTATGGTAGTTTAGTGCTTGGAAATACAGTACAGTGACTAAAGCACTAAAACAATCATTTAAATATCAGGGTAATCAAGTCCACAACTGCATCACAGGTAAAAGAACTCAACATTGCAAGTATGATAAATTTAATTTTACAAATATTATACATACAGAAAAACAAAAAAAGACAGCAAAATTCATACTGTGGCATTAATTTTCTGTATAAATGCAACACAATGTAATAGAATTCACTAAAACAATCCCAAAATATCTTCATGGAGAAAATTTCCTCCATGGGCTTCATTACAATTATACCAAAGAACTATATTTTGATGTTTTAAAAATTTAACACTAAATATTTTGATGCAGTGTATCTCTTCATGGTGGCATCAATGTATCCAATTTCTATAAAATATGGAATATCTATATATTAAAAATTAAATAGTATACATAACATCAATAAAGTGGTTGAGACAAGTGCAAGTGAAACTATAATGTATTAAAAGAGGCTACAGGATTGGACTTTGCAAGGCACAAACATTCAATTGAATATTTTCCCTTACAACGATGCATGTTCAAGACTTACTTCTTACTAAAGAAATTTGTGATATTTGACTGTTTCTTTTTGTGGTCTGCAACTTGGGATTTCTTTGTTGCCTTAGTGGATTTCTTCTGTGGTGAAGTTTTTGTTTTGCTTTGATGCAAATTACTGGTTTTAGTACTGCCTGGAGAAATCTCAGTTTCAAATTTGGGAGAGGTATCCATTTTCATTTCTGCAACATCTTCATCACCAGAGTCTTCAACAAATTCGTATTCTTTTTTAGTTACTGAAAGTATATTAAAAACATTCCAGTATGATTTATAAAAGAATTTAACCATTCCTAGTTCAATTTATACAGAAATTAATCCATTCCTAGTTCAATTTATGACAAAATTAACACAGTCTCAGCTCAATGTGTTAATTTCTTAACATACGTATTTTGCTCAGAAATTAACAAATTTCTAACTTAAATTTGAAGAAATTAACAGAGCTCAATTTATGATTTAATTCCTAGCCCAAAAAAGAAGCATCTTTATTCAAACCTAAGATTAATGATGAGTACTGCTGTTAAGATAAAATCCTTAATTACATTTAAATATATCTCAAGCTGAGAGTGATTATGAAATGGATCAGAAAACAGCATTTAAAAGTCAATACAAGATATCCCCAAAGAAATGAAACTTCACATACTGTAAATTCTAAATGAATCTAATGCAACTTGCCTATCCAGATTCCAATCAGCACTCATAATGATGCACTTCTTATCTCCAATGTATTTCTATCACCCACAATCATTTTTTTTTTTTTTTGCTCAAATTGTCACTGCTCATTTAAGTGATAAATAGGCTCTAAGAGTATAATGGAGTGATATCACTGGGTGCAGACCAGGAGCAAATGGACAGGAAAGATGTCAAGAATGTGTTCCCAAACACAGTAAACCTAACTTCTGACATGTGATTTACTTATACTATTACATATTTCATTATTTTCTTAACATCAAATATGTGTCACTATGTCAATAATTCCACAGAAACTGACTAGAGTATAGGCTTTTGTCCTCACAAAAATCCCACAAGATGAAATTTCTATAAAACATCCCACAGGAAGTTAAATCCCCCCCCCCCCAAAAAAAAAAATCATAGAATAAATGTCCTCCCACAAAAATCCCCATGAAGTCATTTATCTCACAAATTTGTGGGCAATTCCCACAAATGGCAACACTGTCCTTGTTACCATTTTTTTTAATCATTATGGAAGGAAGGGGTGAAAAACCTCAATATCTTGGCAATGAATTCATGAAATTAAGGTAGTCCGAAGTACAAATAAGTATACAATGAACCCTCCCACCATGACTCTGTGGTCTGCAGCTGACTGTGGAGCACATTTTAACTGTTTGCCTGTGGCTGTAACAACTTAGAGAAACTCTAATGTTTTTTTTTTAACTGCTGTAGGTTATTTTAACTTGGTTATGATAGTATTCTTCTGTGTTGTGTGTGTGAAGTTTAAATTTTTTTGCTACAGAGGTTAACCTGGGATGTTCTTATGTGTGTTTCAGATTTATTTTCATTGTTAACAGCATTGAGCAATCTATTAGGTCAAAGTATTTTTCAAATCTAAATATGGTATTTTCATCCTTCCGTCCTAATTTGCATGCTTTATTAATGCCTATTCAACTGATGTTTGATTCTACAAGCTTTCTAGTCTTCAGAAAGCTTGTAGAGTGCAACACTGCCTGTCAACAGGTTCTCCAGCCCTTCTTCATAGTTGGTACTTTATTTACACATTATTCTGCAGTTAAATCTTGCTGAACACTATCTACAACCACTTTCAACTCGAATACATTTTCATGTGAAGTTTAATTTACATTTAAATTTTTATGTGTATGCAATCTTAAAAGCCAGAATGCCAATTTCATAGGAGTAACAGTTTCCTGATGAACTTACTTTAATTAGAAATACATCATTTCTACTGTATAATAACTATTACTCAGTGTTGATGGAAGCCTATTCAAAGTTCAAAACAACATGAAACATACCAATAACAACACAAATTTAAAAAAAAAAAATTTATAAGATAAAAATTAATAACTCTCACTCACCAATATATCCATCTTCATCCTCAAATGTCTTATCTACTAACTTCCTTCTCCGTCCCTGGCCCCCTTTATTTAATAAATCTTGTGATTTAGGTTGTGGGGTAGGGGGGATTATTTCATCAGAGTCAGATTCAACACCATGAACTTCAGGGGGTGGTGGGCTAGGAGACAAAAACAGCTCCTCCTCAACCTCTGTTAAAGTTTACAAAAATGCAGTACAAAGCAGAGATATTATGCATTACAAACTATGTTTACATTTGAAAAATGCATAATACTTGTTTCAAGCCATTTCCAACCTAGGGAGGGTGATCTAAAAAATTAAATGCTTCACCGTCATTTCTCTCTGATTCAGTGAAACAATCACCGTCATCAGGATCTGTGAGAAAAAATCACAACTATTGTCCAAAATGACACAGCAACACTGCAAACAATTACAAATAGTAAAATTAGTTAAAATATAAACCAGAAACCTAGAAATATGCTTAGTGAAGCAAGGGAGAACAGGGGCTTACCAAAATGCACAGTGGACCAATTGAGGTATAAACCAATGGATAAACTCCCCAATTACTACCTGTAGTAGTTGCTTTGAGTAAGGTGTAAACTTACCATTTTTACACAGTTTACAGTATATTAAACTGGATAAAATCCTGGCTGAGATAAATGGATAAAAAAATTGGGGTTTTGTAATACTATTCGCGGAAAGTGAGTACAAACTGCACTTTATTCTGGCTCAGTTTGGCCAGCATCGCATAAGAATTTTTTTAGTTTATGTTTAGTAGAAATGAAGTAACTCCTTCCTGTTGATTCCTCTTTGACTGCAATTTTCCCATCCCTTGCAAAGCAATGGTGGATTTTTTGGTCGTGTCATAGCTTTATTAGTCTATAGAAGAGATTTTGTTTTATTTTGGTCAGGCACTTGTTGACATATACATCAGTTTTTTTCATATTAATGAATGTTCTTAATAGGTCATTTCTTTGTGAGCTAGAGTTGAACTTTAGTATCACTCATTTCTTACCAGTTTGATAACCTATCACTTAACACTCCTTTATGTCATCACTAGGTATGTTGAGATGAAAATGATCTTGGATAAATTGTAAGGTGGTTTGTTTACATGTTTCTTGGGTTATAGTTGGTGGAAGAAGGTTGCTTTTTACTACAAATGAATCAGACAGTTGTTGGACCCCAATGGAAATAAGTAATTTTGACTGTTTTGGGTTATCCCAGGTTCTCTACACATATGCTTCTATGTATGACAACCTATGTAACTGTATTTGTGTATACCTGAATAAACTTACTTAAGTGATCTTGGAAGTTGTTCATAACATCGGTAGGCTGTAAATTCACTCTTGCTCTTTTGTTCTTGATGTTAGTATTTAATTGGGTAATTTGATTTATTAGGCAGTTGATGGATTTCTCAGACTGGGTGCGGGTGTTGCTTAACTGTTCCAGTACATTTAGTTTATGTTCCAGAGTTGTGATCTTGCCGAGGTGCTGTGTGTTGGACGTTTGTAGTTCCTTAATTTCCTGGGTTAACATGTCATTGGAGGTTTTAAGTTCCTGCATTTCCCGAGTTAACATGTTGATTTTTTGACTCTGGATCCTCATGAGTTCAGCTATTTCTGGGTCTTTAATATCCTCAAATTCTTGGAAGGAATTATCTTGGATGTGTGAGGCAGCGGACATGTTTGTTGTTGTCTGACGTTGTTGGGGTGGTACCTAATTGTATTCACCTAATTGTGCTTGCAGGGGTCAAGACTCAGCTCTTGGCCCCACCTCTTCACTGAATGCTGCTAGGTCCTCTCTCTCCCTGCTCCATGAGCTTATCATACCTCGTCTTAAAGCTATGTATGAGGGTGATGGTGGCGGTGGGTGCTAAGGGTGGTGTTGGCGGTGGTGGTGGTGGCAGTGGGTGGTGAGGGTGGCAGTGAGGGTGGCAGTGGGGGTGGTGGGAGGTGGTGGTAGTGGGTGGTGGGGGTGGTGGAGGTGAGGGTGGTGGCAGTGGGTGGTGAGGGTGGTGGCAGTGGGTGGTGAGGGTGGTGGCAGTGGGTGGTGAGGGTGGTGGCAGTGGGTGGTGAGGGTGGTAGCAATGGGTGGTGAGGGTAGTAGCAGTGGTTGGTGAGGGTGGTGGTGGTGGGGGGTGGCAGTGGGTGATAGGGGTGGTGAGGGGGCAGTGGTGGTGGGGGTAGTGGGTGGTGAGGGTGGTGGCAGTGGGTGGTGAGGGCAGTGGCAGTGGTGGCAGTGGGTGGTGGGGGTAGTAGTGGTGGTTGGTGAGGATGGCAGTGGGTGGTGGGGGTGGTGGCAGTGGGTGGTGATAGTAGTGACGGTGGTTGGTGAGGGTGGTGGCGGAGGGTGGTGGCAGAGGGTGGTGGCGGTGGGTGGTGGGGGTGGTGGTGGAGGGTGGTGGCGGTGGGTGGTGGGGGTGGTGGCAGTGGATGGGGGGTGGTGGCAGTGGGTGGTGGGGGTGGTGGCAGTGGGTGGTGGGGGTGGTGGCAGTGGGTGGTGGGGGTGGTGGTGGGTGCTGAGGGCAGTGGGTGGTGGTGGTGGGTGGTGAGGGCAGTGGGTGGTGGTGGTGGGTGGTGAGGGTGGTAGGTGGTGAGGGCAATGGGTGGTAAGGGCAGTGGATGGTAAGGGCAGTGGGTGGTGAGGGTTGTGGTGGTGGTGGGTAGTTAGGGTTGTGGGTGGTGAGGGTGGTGGCGGTGGGTAGTTAGGGTTGTGGGGGTGGTGGCGGGTGGCGAGGGTTGCGTCCTTCTGGATGGAAGTAGATGTTTTACTTGTAGTACAGGTCCACCATCACAAATCTGGCAATCAGTTATTCAGTTCCTTCAGTTATTCGGCACTAATTTCGGCTAGCATAATTTCAAATTCCCAGGGTCGCCACACCAACCTGCTGGTACTGTTTGGTGGTGCTACTTGCTGCATAAGTCATTCTAATTTCTTTTTCTCCATTAATTGTTATAACCCGCTTACTTTTAGCCCTAGCCATGGTTCCAATGAATAAAAAAAAATGCTTTTCGTTGTGTAAAGCACCTATACAGTACATTGTCCATTAAAGATAAGGTGGCTTTGAAGCCACTGTCAGTTGCTATGAGCTCAGTCTCGTGATGCAGGAGAATATGCTTTATTATTACGCTAATATCAACACTACAGCTGATTGCCTATCACAACTGATCTAATATGACATAATAAACAATATAGATAACATAAAATATGTTAAATACACCAGAATGAATAATATTTGGCATAATACCGAACAGTTCGACGGAGGTATGAAGAAGATACGAGACACAAGTACCATTCTCTTATCCCTGTCTTGGGGCTTATATTAGAGAAAACAGAGTGTAGCACAGGGCTAACTATGATATACACTTGTACTGCACCATAAACCGAATCGAATCGAATCGAGGACGACGAGAGCTGTCGTAAGATGGGAAGGAAGAACGATAAGGAAGGATGGAAATAACTGGAAAAGGATGGTGAGGAGGAATCAAGGCAAGTGGCCCAACCACTTTGGGACATGTGGTACAAAAGTACTGGAGACGTAGATAGAGAGGCTTGACTGAAATCATTGCTTGGCTCACTAGGAGAGGATGGCGAAGGCAGTGGTAGGAGCTGGGAGTGTCAGAAGGCAGCAAGCAGGATGAGTTGGTTATGGTCTTAAACCGTTTATCAGTGCGGTTAATTGTTTTCGAGAGAGTTGTATCACACTTATGGGAGAGCTGTAGTAGTATTCGTTGGTTTGGAGTTGGTGGAGTATCTGGTTGTAGGTAGGGAATGGTCTTTCTTCGCTTTGGTACGATACAGTGTTGTCTTGGAGATGTTGGATGAGTTTCTAGGCGAGTCATGCTTGCAGGGTATAGCCTCGTGGTGTAGAATATGAGTCCTTTGTGTTTAACCCATGGTGTTCCAGGTAATCGACGTGAGCTAAGTAGAGAAGGCGGTGGTGGAATAGAGGAAGGTGGTGTGTTGCTTCGTTTTCAACTTCAGTAGACGAATTAGAAGATGTTTCTGGTGGTAAGGCTTCTGATTGGTTGGATTCAGTGAGAGGTGGTGGCGGTGGAGGCTTCTCATTGGTCGTTGTTGGATTGACGTCACTAGTTGGTGGTGTTGATGGAACTTCTGCAGAAGAGTTGGCGATTAAGTTTTTGGTGAATTTGAGAATTTCTTCAGAAGGTGGAGATGCTGGAAATGTAAATGAAGGCATGTTATTTAATGCAAATAACTCATTGATGGTAGAGTTAAATGATCCAGGTACAGCCATGTTTTGCATATGAGCGTATAGTAGACAGTAGTGAATCTTCGTTACGTCACATGTTGGAGGAGTGATGGTAGTGGTGGTGGTGGAGGCGGGCTGAGTAAGTAAGTAAGTTTATTCAGGTATACACAAATACAGTTACATAGAATTATCATACATAGCAGCATATGTGTAGAGAACCTAGGATAACCCAAAAAAGTCAGACAGAGTGACTTATTTCCATTGGGGTCCTTTTACCTTATTATTATAATATAAAGGTTGTAATATTTTCTTATTATTCTATAATGAAGATAACATCTTATTATCATACTAAAAAGACTATCTACTATACCAAGGTCATTAAGACTATCTACAATACGAGGGTCATTACTAGGAATAAGGTAAAATTTACACGTATGTTAGATAAAAAATAGAAAATCATTCCCCTCCCTTTCTGTAGCTACATTATCAGACACCTTTTGGCACTCTTCTTGAACTGGTTCATGCTAGGGACTGGCTTTGACATGTGCGGGTAGTCTGTTCCATTCCTTTATTGTTTGTACAATAAAAGGGTGTTTGAAGCCTGGCTAATGACTGTGGGTACTTCAAAGCTGTGCTCTCTCCCCCTAGTACTATGATTGCTTTGGTTCCCAACCTTGACAAAATTGACAGCAAGATATTCTGGACACTGTTTGTGAGCAATTTTATAAACATGATTTAGCTTCAGTTGTTTTTACTCTGTCTTCAACATTCAGCATATCAACTGCTGTAATTCTTTCCTGGCCTACATGTTCTTTGGTCCACCCCAGATGAATCTTACAATTTTGTTCTGGGTGATTTGCAGTCAAATCTTTCATTTTTTTTGTCAAGGCAAGTACCAAGAAGAGCAAGCGTAATCCATATGGCATTGTATAAGGGCTGAGACATAGGGTCCTGCGAGCCTCAGTAGGTAGACACTGT